CGGGGCCAAAGGTGGGAGGGCGTGGGGGTGGGGCCTGGGCCTGAGCATTTGCTCCAAGGGACGAGGGGCGCGGCCTCGAGGTGGGGGGCGTGGCGGGAAGGGGCGTGGCCACACGGGTTTCCTGCAGGGGTGGCCCGGGGGCGTGGCCTGCGGGCAGGGCCGTGGGGGCGGAGTCTCCGGAACACCAGGAACAGCTCGGGCTGCCCACGGGTTCCTGCCTTGTCACCGCGGGCCTCGGGAGTTGGGGTCCCTCCACCAGCACGTGTGTTCGTCTCTCTCCTAAGGGACTCAGAAGAAGTGCTCCAGGATGTGCAGAGCCGGGATCCCACGGCGCCTCCAGGCGGCCGAGGACGGGGCAGGGGCGGCGGGCGGGGGGCCGGTCCCTGGTTCCGCTGGGTAGCGCGCGCCTTGCCTATCGTTCTGCATCCCTCCGCCGGTCCTTGACCCCTGGGGCGACGCCAACCCTGCGCCTAGCTCTTAAACGTGAAATGGTGGATGTCGGTCGTGCGTTGCTGTGTGTGACTTTGAGCAGGTCCCGCGCCTCTGAGCCTCATCCCTGCACACAAGGCAGTGAGCGGGAACCCCAGCCCCCTTCACAGGGTTAAATGCAGCCCTGTCACTCGCCGGTGTCCCCTCCCTTTCCCATCACTGGGCAGAGTTTCGGGACACCTCCATGGCTGATGTGAGGACTCTTGGGTCTAAGAGTTACTGAGGCCCTCCACCCCGACCCGTGAGGACAGAAGTGCTCCAGCCACCCATGCACAATGGTTTAATGTTGGGGGGAAGGGAGAGATAAAGCAGGGTTTGGGGGAGTCACCCCCAAAAGCAGGAGGGGCCAGGATTCAGAGTTGCTGGGGTTGGGGGGTAGGAGGCCTGGTTCCAAGCCTGGCACGGTCCCAGCCTTGTTGTGACTCTGGGCATGTAGCCTCCCTCTCTGGGCTTCCGCCCGGGGTGATGTGAGTAGGGGTCTTTGCAGAGGTGGGGCTGGAGGGAGTGGGGCAGAATTTGATTCCCACATCAGGTTTGGGGTCCAGGGTAGGAGGGCTTCCTCAGGGCTCCCGCCATCACTGAGAGCCCTGGCCAGGCCCCAGGCACACAGCTGGGGCAGTGGTGGGGGATGGGGGCAAGAGCCCCAGCCCAGGTGGGAGGGACAGGCCTCCTTGATCCCTGTCAGCCCGGATGCTGGGGAGGGGGTATGGTGCCGGTCGGGCCCTTGGGATCCCAAGGTAGCTTGGGGCTCCATGGTACAGGCCCCGGAAGGTGAGGGACCTGTAGGTGGTTGGAGCCAGCAGGGCCTCAGGGGCAGGCAGCAGCTGATGGTGGAGCCGGCCAGGGGTCCCGGAGGTAGAGGCTGAAGCTTTGTTGGGCTCTGAGGGAGGAAATGGTCTAAGTGGACCCCAGGCCTGCCCCATCCCCTTCCCTGCTTCTGTCCCAAGTTGCCTACCTCTCAGCCTTCGCCCTTGCCTGGAATCATTTTGCCACCTTTTCCCTCTATCCAAACCCTTCCCAGTTATCCAAGGCCCAGCTCAGGAACCACCTCCTCCAGGAAGCCCACCCGGCACCCCCTACCTCTGCTCTCAGCACCTTGTCCCTGTCCTGTTCACTCTGCCCTGGGCCTCATACTATCTTAGGAATCTCTACCTCCCCCTCTGTGTCCACACAGTGGGTTTGGTAAGCATGCTGAAGCCCCTTCCTGGAGGCCCTGTCCCCTCACTTCCTGCCCACCATGCAGGCTTGAATCCCACTGTGTCTGCAGGTGTGGGGCCTTACCTTTCTCCCGCTCCGTGGAGCCCTTCAGCAGGCAGGGACTGAGGCTGCTGCGACTCTGGGCCGGGATGCTGAGCAGGGGCCGTGTGGCCATAGGCCTGAAGATGGGGCAAGCAGGAATGGGGGCAGGGGGTCAAGGTGGAGAACCTAGGCCCCGGATCATGGTCAGAGTCAGATGGTAGGGCCCAGGACAAGTCAGAGGGTCAGACCCTGAAACAAGGGTCAGGAGTCAAGGCCTTAGGAGATGCCTGATGGTGGGAGGTAAGGGGCTGAGGTTGGGGCAGCTGGCAGAATGTCAGGGGCCAGGCAGTACCAGGAGTCCAGGTCACTCTCTCTAAAGCCCTTGGCAAAAGGGTTGCTGGCGATTTTCAGCTGGGTGATCTGCAGAGGAGAAAGTGCAGTTATGGGCTGGCCCTGAGCCAGCAAGAGGCTGTGGGGCCCAGGCTCAGCCATCCTGTGCTCCCAAGACCCCCCAGTCAGGAGGCACTGGGACCCAGGCCACTTGGCCCAGGAACTTCAGGGCCGGGGGTGTGTGAAGGCAGGGCATTGACCGTGGGCAAATGTGCAAGGAGAGAGGAAAGGGCAGATGTCTGCCCGCATGGGGCTGAGAGCCGTGGGCCTCAGTCTCCACCCCTGTGAAATGGGCTAGCACTGGTGCTTCCTGAGCTATGTCCTGACCCACCCGGTGGTTCTGATATGCCGTCACAGCTGTGAACTGGGTCTCCGTGAAGATGAAGGACTTGAAATTCTCCTGGGCGTAGCGCTCGCTGTCCCTGCGCGGGTCCACGAAGACCACGTGGAAACGGGGCTGGTAGCGGTGCATGGAGTTGAGAATGATCTGTGGGAGGTGTGGAAGGGTGTGCGGGGGCGCATGGGGCAGCAGCCAACTCTGGCTGAGCTGAAGCCCTGGTTCCCAGGGCAGAGAGACTGCCCAGGGCCTGCCGCTGCCCTCTGTCTTTAATGGTGAGCAGGATCTGAACTTGAGAGTCTGCGGTTTTGTGTCAAAGGCCCCTTTGCGTGTGAGCATCCCTGCCTCTGCCTCTCTCCACCCCCTGCCCAGCTGTCAGCTTTACCTTAAGAACTGTGCAGAAGCTGACCACCCCCCACCCGCTGCCTCCGCACCAGCCCACCGCTGTCATCTTCCCCTGGTTTTCTCGGTGGCTTCCTGGCTGGGCTCCCTCCTTTCACTTCACCCCTCTGTCCATTCTCCACAAAGCAGCCCCAGCAAGTCACACCATGGGCCCCCTGCTCCAAACCCTCCTGTGGCTCCCACCCCACGCAGAGTAAAAGCCAGAGTCCCCTCCACAGCCAACTGGCCCCGCACAAACAGCCCCGCCCGCCGCCAGGTCTCTCCTCTCGCTTCTCTCCTCGCTGCACTCCAGCCACATGCGGAGCCCTTGCAGTTCCCCCAAGTCCCTCAACATTCTCCAGCCTCAGGGCCATTGCACTTGCTGGCCCCTGTGCCTGGACCAGCTCCCCTCTGCTGCAGCATGAGGCTCCCTCCCTTCCCATGTCCTTCAGATTTCTGCTCAAGTAATGCCGCATCAGCCTTCCAAGCTTCCTGAGGAACAGCCGCCCTCTGTCTCCGCCCCGTTCCCTGGTTCCTTTTTCTCTTTGGTATTTATCACTATCAGACGTCACATAGCGTCTCCTGGATTCTTGGTTTACCATCTGCCCCGCTGCCCCAAGATATGAGCACTGTACAGCAGGGATCTTTGTCTGTTTAACAAACCGTCAACAGTGCTGTGTTCTGGCACCTGCAGCAGGCCTGGCCTAGCCTGGGCATTCCATACACTGTCTTCAGGGAGGATGATGTCTGCTGGAATATTTCCCCATCTGCCTGGACAGTGCTCTCTGCTGTCCAACCCCCAGCCAGGTAAGCTTGGCCCCCAGCCTTGGCCATCAGCAGCAGGCAGGGGTGCTGGGCAACAAGGCCACTGGACACCAAAGGCCTGGCCAGCCCTGGCTTCAGGCTCCATCACAATCAGGCCCCAGCCCCCACTGGCCTGGTCCAGTCCCTCCCAACTGTGGCCCAGGCCTCACGTGGCCATTGTCATCCAGCAGGTTGTTGGTCAGCTTGAGCTTGTCGAAGGACACGATCTGGCGCATCCACTGGGCGCCCTTGGCCGGCGAGTCCGGGTGGAAGTGCACGCGGCCGGGTGTGGCCGGGTCTGCCTTGCCCGCCACCAGCCAGGCCGAGCTGTGGAAGGCATACCTGGGGAGCAAAGCAAAGTGGCGAGGGCTGCCCACCTGGAGCCAAGCCTGACCAAGACTGGTGGGACGGAGGGGCTGTCGCTAACTCCACTATCCCCCATCTGGCCTGGTGGGCGTCTTGCAGATGAGGAACCTGAGGCTCAGAGAACACTGTTGGGCCCTGAGTTCCCTGTGGCTGCACCCTGCTGACGGGCATCAGCATAACCGCGCCATCCACTCTGCCTTCCCAGCCTCGCCCACTGCCCATGTAAAGCTGTCAGCTGCCCTGAGCTAGGCTCCCTCCTGCCAGCAGGCTGTTGTCACGACCAAGACTGGTGGGACGGAGGGGCTGTCGCTAACTCCACTATCCCCCATCTGGCCTGGTGAGCGTCTTGCAGATGAGGAACCTGAGGCTCAGAGAACACTGTTGGGCCCTGAGTTCCCTGTGGCTGCACCCAGCTGACGGGCATCAGCATAACCGCGCCATCCACTCTGCCTTCCCAGCCTCGCCCACTGCCCATGTAAAGCTGTCAGCTGCCCTGATCTAGGCTCCCTCCTGCCAGCAGGCTGTTGTCACAGGCTGGACCTCCCTGGCATTGCTCAGATGAACCCCTGCCTCTCCCTAGAAGCTCAGCAGGGATCTAATTCCTGGTCTTAGCACCTAAGCTCAGAGCCTTTTCCCCAGGCTAGCCCCCAGACCTGTATCTCTTGTCATCCAATGGGATGAAGTCCATGAGCAGGGCATAGTCGGCCAGCGTGTCCATGCCCAAGATCTTCACCTGGAAGGTGGGGAACATCCTCCTGCGGGAAGGAGGCACTCAGCAGCCTGAATGTGGCTCCAGCCCTGGCCCCTGCCCTGCTCCCATGCACACACCTGCCTGTCTTGGTGACAATCATCTCTGTGCCCAGCTGGTTGAATTCCTCCCACAAAGGCTTCATTTCTAGCTGCACCGTCACGCTGGACACATGTGGGTTCTTGGGGCCCTGCCCAGCGGGCTCGGCTGCAGTTTGGGCTCTTGTGGAGCTGGTGCAAGGACCTGATAGGAACGGTGTCCCCAGCTGGGGCTCCCAGCTGGAGCCCATCATGGGTAGGGTGTAGGTCTCTGAGGGTGCAAGTACACTGAGACCAGCAGTCAGGAAGGCTGGGGAGGGGGGATAAAAGTGTGGGCCACCCCCGCCCATCACCCAACCAGCCCTCATCCTTCAGGCTGGACCTACATGCCTCTTCCTCCAGGAAGCCCTCCCTGACTGCCAGGCCTGTGTTTCCACAGTATCCCCCACTCAGCATCACTCCGTAGGGTAAGTGCTCACTTAAAGTCTTACCCAGCAAGCTCCTAGAGGGTGGAGACAGGGCCTGTCTTGCTCCCCACCCTGTGACAATGTGGCTTTGAGCAAATTGTTTCACCTCCTGGAGCTTCATCATCCACATCTATAAGAGGGTTCTTAATACCTGCCTCCTAGGGGCGATGTGAGGACTAGCGATGACACACACAGGGCCTTGCACACAGTAGGCCCTTCATAAGTGACACCTGTTGCAGATGATGTATCTGTGAGGTTGTGGGGTGGGGGTGGGGGTCTTTCCAAGCTCCATGGAGACCCTGCTGCCTCGTGCTGCTTACGGAGAGCCAAGCTGAGAGGAGACCACCATTCGCCACAAATTCTCCATCCCTGATCTTGAAATCCTGCTGGAATCCCGCCCCCAGAAGTCCATTCTAATGTCTTTCTGCTCTGATCTCTTCACTTTTTTCTAAAGATCTTGTCTTTAAATCTGCAATCCTAGCACAAGCCTTGGTCAAAAACTTTGCCACCCTCCACCTCTCCAATTAAAAAAAAAAAATCCGCTGGTTATCTCGGTTGGTTAGAGCACGACCTTATAACACCAAGGTCAAGGGTTCGGCGTACCGGCCAGATGCAAAAAATACATTAAGTAAATAAGATCCTAAGCACAATGAGCTACCATTTTATACCTACTAAAGAAAAGAAACTGGAAGCTAATAGGTATAACACCAAGGTCAAGGGTTCGGCGTACCGGCCAGATGCAAAAAATACATTAAGTAAATAAAATCCTAAGCACAATGAGCTACCATTTTATACCTACTAAAGAAAAGAAACTGGAAGCTAATAGGTTGTGGGAGGATGTGGGGAAACTGGAACCCTCGTGCACTGCGGGAGGGAGTGTGAGATGGTGCAGCTGCTGGGAAGACAGTGAGGGGGTTCCTCAGAAAATTAAACAGAATTACCTACGATCCAGCAATTCGATTTCTGGGTCTACGGCCAAGAGAATTGAAAGTAGAAACCTAAAGAGATACTTGTACAGCATGTTCACAGCAGCACTATTCACAATAGCCAAAAGGTGGAAGCCCCCAGGCGCCCACTGACGCGTTGGACAAACAGGACGTGGTCCACACAGACATCGAGTGCCACTCAGCCTTAAACAGGGGGGAACTCTGACGCTCGCCCCTGATGGGTGAGCCTTGAGGACATCATGCCGAGTGAAATAAGCCAGTCACAAAAAGACAGATACTGTGTGACTCCGCTCATAAGAGAGGCCGAGAGGGGTCAAACTTATGAAAGTAGAATGGTGGCTACCAGGGACCGGGGAGGGACGAAATGAAGAGCTGGTGTTTAATGGGACAGGTCTCAGTTTTGCAGGATGCAGAAAGCCCTAGAGATGGACGGTGGTGATGGCTGCACAGCAGTGTGAAAGTACCTAATGCCACTCAACTGTGCACTTTCCAATGGTCAAGATGGCAAATTTTATGTTATGTATATTCACCACAATTAAAAAATTTTAAATGGTAGGGCCAGCCTGTGGCTCACTCGGGAGAGCGTGGTGCTGACAACACCAAGTCAAGGGTTAAGACCCCTCTACTGGTCATCTTTAAAAAAAAAAAAATTAAATGGGGAAAAATCCTGAAAAACAGGGCTACTACTTTATAGCAGCCCCATAATGGGCTGAGGACCTACTGGGGCCGTAGAAGCCGCAATGCCTGGAGTCAGGACACAAGGTGTCCATTCCCAGCAGTGCCCCCAGCTGAGTGGCTTTTTTTTTAAGATCTAGGCAACCACATAAGTGTGGGATCCCCTGAGCAGAGGGGAAATGCTCAATGTTGGATAGATGGATGGAGTGACAGAGAGATGCCTGGAGGGAGACAGGTGCCTGATGAGAGTGTGGGGCCCAGGGCCCATGGCCACGTTCTCAGCAGCTCTGAGAAGTGGCGCCTCGCTACAGCCCTGGGGATCTCTGTAATCTTGGGGTGGGGAGGTGTCTCTCTGAGAGGGATAGGCCACATCAGGTGTGAGGACCCTGGGGAGGGAGGGACAGATAGGCTGATGTCCCCCACCACCTGGGTCCAGGCCATCAGAGGGGCAACTGCCCATTGCTCTGCTGCCCTTCTGGGGCAGGTATGTCGTCCCGGTAAACGATGCCAGCCCGCAGGGTCCATGAGATGGGTCCCATGGTTTACTGGGCCTGGGGGCTTTGCAGGTGGCTCCCAAGCCTTCTATGGGCTCACTCCTTGCCCCTCCCAGTCAATGTGCCACACCTCAGCACTTTCAGGAACTCTGAGGAGGGCCTGTCCTCTCCTCCGCCCAGCTAGAAGCCAGCACCTCTCAGGGTCAGGAGATGACAATTTCTCAGAGGCTTTGAGTGTCAGGTCTGGAAGGGAAGTTATCTGCTTCATTTCCAGTCCCCTGCTCTGATGCTCAAGGAGTGGAGGCCCAGAGAGGGCACCAGACAGGACCAAGTCACACGTGACCAATGAGGCTGTCGTCTTGCAGAAACGGCTCGGTCCACCTGCCTGTCAGCACCCCCAAAATTGCACTTGGGCAGCTGCGAGTCCATCAGCCCTGCCCTGATGAGATCTGGAGCCTCAGCCCCAGCTGCTGCGCAGGGCCTGGTTCCAGTGGGGCTTCTTTGGTCCTTGCCTGGCCCCACTCACCCTGGAACCAGAGCCCACCCATGAGGCCACCTTGTCTATACCATACCTGCCATGGGGACAGCGTGGTTTCTCCTGGAGAAACCCTGCTCAGCTGCGGCTGGGCTGCACCTGCCACCCAAGGGGGCCCCCGCCTACCGGGAGGGGTGGCAGCTGCTCCCGCTCCTCGCTTGCTCGGCACTGCAGCTCAGCTCTCAGGCGCTGTGTCTCGGTGGGACTGTCCTTCCCTCCTCGATGGCCCTCTGTCCCCAGGTCAACGTTCTCCCACCCAAGTAGGGCAACTGGTCCTTAGGTGAGACCGTGGCTCTAGGATGAGCAGGGCCCCTTCTCCAAGCCACCGTCAGACTGTACCGTCTGAGGCCCGGCCACCGGCTGGGCTTGTCCAGCTCCAGGGGCGGGTGCTGTGCAGGGGAGGGCAGGTGGGAAGGTTCTGACGTTGCAAAGCTCCCCTCCCTCCTCCCAGTCCCCCCTCCCCAGCTCCCTCCCTTCCCCAGCTAAGAGTCCCCAGCCACTCCTGATCAATGCGCCCAGGCGCAGGGGTGGGGAGGGCCCCATCTTGAGGATGGGCTGGGTGTCCACAGGGGCCCAGGTCTGGCTGACTGGGTGGGGGCTGAGGTTGACAGGCCTCGGGGAGGTCGTGGAGGCAGCAGTAGTAGCAGCTGAATGGCAAAGCTGGTGCCCTCCCACCAGGTCCCAGACCCCTGGCTTGTGCCTGCTGGCATGGAATCACCAGAGGAAACACAAGGGGGCAGCGGCAGCAAGTGCTGTCAGCACAGAGCCCCCGGACCGGGAGGTAGGAGGCTCTGACCTTCTGAGAGCTCAGCCCAGTGGGCTGTGTGATGCTGGTAGGTCCCTGACAGTCTCTGTGCCTCCGTTTCCCCAACTGACCTATATGCATAATCTCTTCTGCCTGAGATGCTGTAGTGCAGCTTGGCAGCTGGAAGCCTTCCCTGTCTAGAGCTGGGGGCGGTGCCTTTGGTTGATGGTGCCTACATAGCCCCCATCAGGGCATGAGTGGAGGCTCTGAGGGTGACCCAGGTCAGACACCACTGGGGAGGGTGTCTGCTCTGCCTGCGGGTCTGTCTGTTCTCTCCAGCCTGACTGAGCACCTTCTCCAGGCCGGTCCCAGCTTGTCCTGGGGCTGGGCATTCAGGGGATGCACCGATCACTAGTCAGGATGGCAGGGGGGTGGGGTTCCACATAAGCTGGTGCCAGTCCCTCGGTTAACAGGGCTCTTTGGCTATTTGACCCTTGTCAATGGCCCATAGTGGGTCATCTGGCTGGACCCCAGGTTAGCCCACTCTGGGAAGGAGCATCCCAGGCTAGCCTCCGGGCCAGAGCACTAGGAAGGAGCGCCCCAGGCATGGCTGGGCTCAACTGGGGTCCCCAGGGCCTGGACCATTCCCACACTACCTCCTCCAGAATCTGGTGCTGGGGTTGTCAGAGGCCTCAGTCCGAGAGGGGGCACAGATGGGGCAAGGGTTGGAGGGGCTGCTTCTCTCTGAGCATAATGCTGTGGGCCCTCCCAGTGCTTCACGCCAGGGGGCAGACCCTCTCCTCCCTGCAGTTCAGGGATGCCTGCTGGCTCAGTCCCCCGAGCCCCAGACCCCCGTCTGCAGAGCTGGGTGGCATCCCACAGGGAGAGGGGGGGCGGCCCCAGGGACATGTCAAGGGAAGAGGGCTGTCCCCAGCACAGAGCCACACCCCACTGTGTGGAGGAAGGCTGCTGTCAGTGCCAGGGTTTGCTGCCAGGCGAAATGGGATGCCAAGGGATCACATTCTTTGTGCCCGCCCTGCCTGTGCTGACACCACCCCCAGCCCGGTTTCCTAACTCAGCCACATCTGCCTGGCAAGATGGTGGGTTCCAGCAGCTCCCAGGGGCCCCCCAGTGAGGTGTAGCCATGCCACCCTGTCTCAGGGCAGATGAGGGGGGCTTGGGGGGTCCGTACCAGCCTTGGTGGCTCCCCCTTAGCCCAGAAACCCAGGGGCGGGCCAGCGGGGGGTTCTGTCTCTTCCTGATGTGTGAGTGTGTGCGAGCGTGTGTGTACATGTGCGCACGCACCCCTTTGATCTGTGTGATGGGAAACACCCCACACACATATGCACGTGAGCAACTGACACACTAGCCCACGCGCACACAAACACACAGGTGAACACGAAGGCCCGTGGACTTGCCACCACGTGGGTGCACACACACACAGGCTCCTGAGCACATGGTCTCACCGCACACACAGTGTGCACACAAACACCCACACGTCCTGTGCACGGGCCTCCCTGCACACCCCTCCCTGGCTGGTTAGCCCTTCCTGCCGGAGGCGCCTACTGGCCCCCTGCCCCCTCATCCATCTTGCCTGCCAGCCCGTCCCTGGTGCCCCCATATCCTTCACGCCTTCTCATCTCACTGCTCGATACCAGGAGGCAGTGTGGCAGCCGTGGCCGCGGGGAGATGGATGGGCCAGGCGGGGGGTGTGGAGAGCTGGGAGTGATGCTTCGAGAAGATGGAGCTCTGGCCCCAGCCTCCCCCACTATCCAGCCAAGAACCTGTCCAGTTCAGATGGGCGTGGGCAGCGTGAGGCTGCAGCCGGGCCCGTCCTGCCTTGACTACTTCATCCTACTGTGAACACCCTGCAGAATGCCTGGGTCAGGACGGAGGGGGCCCCAGCAGCGACCCTGTGCCAGCCCCCTCCCGATACCAGGGCAGAGCTTCCTGGGGATGGCGGAGGGGAGCCTCAGCTTCCCTGCTAGGACTTCCCTCTGTCCACCACCAGAACAGGCTGTCCTGGGCAGGGAGAGCCTGGTTGGGCTGTACCCCTTCCCCCAGCCCTGACCTCCCCACTAAAGCTGTCATGGGCGTGGGGCCCATTACACCTGGAAATGCACATCTGGGCTATGCGCCTGGCCACACACAGATCCCCTCAGAAGAATACCCAGTGCACGGAGGTTCTAAGAAACACGCATGTGTAGAAAGACGCACACACCAAAGAGCACATAGGAAGGCACGTGCATGGACATGCACACGTGTGTGCACATACGTGGGCAGACGCCGCTGCTCTCCTCTCCCCAGCCTAACCCTCTGGACCCAGGATTGTAGGAGGGTCAGGGCCTCCTCTGGATGCCCCTCCGCTGGCTCCAGGACAGTCCTCCAAGTCCTCCTCCATACTATGGAATCTTCCCCAGGGTATGATGGACAACCGTGGGCACAGAGACAGCCACCACAGGTTCCAGGACACGCAGCATGTCCAAGGTTACAGTGAGTGGCCAGACCTGCCCCAGATTCTATGTTCAACCCTCCCTTCCTCCATCCACTTCCCCAGTCACAGTGGGGTAATGCAGGACAGAAGACACAAACCATGCACCCCTGGACATTTTCCGTTTTATAGAATGGGAACTTGAAGCCTGGGGTTTGGGGGCCTGGCAAGGAACATGGCACAGAGCAGGTGGCAAGGGGGCCCCTCGGCTCGGAACTGCACCTCAGGACCCATTGTTCAGATGGGAAGACTGGGGCCGGGCAAGAGTGGCCTGGGTTAGGGAACTGCGGTGAGGGCAGGGGGCAGCGTGGGCAGGGCAGGCACAAAGAATGTGAGCTTCTCTGTCTGGAGAAAGGCAATGCCCTTCTCGTAATAGGCAGCCTCGTTAATGAACACAGGGTACATGATGGACTCCCTCTTGTAGAGCACGTCTTCCCCGCTGAACATCTGGAAGATGGGAGCCTCAGGCTGCAGCGGCTCGAAGTCTCGCTCCTGAGAGGACAGCCAAACGCCAAGGTTGCTGAAGCCGACCTCTGCTCCAGCCCAAGTAGGGGCAACCCCAGCTGGCAGCACCCAAGATGCCCCTCACTCATGGCCTCGCCCACCCAGTCTTCACTTCGTCAATCTATGTGACAGGGTGTCTGGTGAGATTCCAACCTGCTTTGTTTCTAGAAATGAAGACACCAGTCACCCTGGAAAGGCATTTGTCATTGTGAAAGTGTAGCCTCATGGTTATGGGCAGAGATATTGAAGCCTGGGTTCAAATCCTTGCTGGCTGTGTGATCTTGAGCAAGTCACTCAACCTCTCTGTTCCTCAGCTTCCTCACCTGTAAAATAGGGATTATAAAATCTCTTTCTATCATTCTGAGGCTTAAATTAAACAGGTTAATAGTTCTTAAAACAGTGTCTGGCACACAGTAAGTACAACACTTTACTAAATAAATTTTTGAATTGTAGGAGAAAGTACCCAAAATGTTATTACTTAACATCAGGAAGGTAGATGAGCAGGTCTGGCTTAAGATCCTGTAGCCCTAACCGCTGGAAGGAAGGCGCTCCCTCTACCATAAGGTCATTAGGAGAAAGATAACACTTCAAAATAAAACTGCTGCAAACACAGGCAACGAGACTGAACAAAACCCTGTTCAGCAGCGACCCCACATGGCAGCAAACAGAGCAGCAGCTGGTGGGCTGTCAGTTCTTTCCAGCCACCCCTCCAACAGGTGTAGAAACAGGATTGTCCAGTCCTGGAACATTCTGGAAAGGAAGGCCTGGATGACCTGCTGAGGGGTATGGGGATGCTCTCAGAATCAACTGGAAAATAAAGACAGAATCCTGTATTTGCACCTCCAAGCAGGTGAATTGGGTGATGCCTGCTCCACATCCCCTCCCTCCCTCTGCCACCTGCAGCCTGAGCTGGTGAGGAGGCCCCCTGTGCCCTACACAGGAGCTGTGGGGATCACTGTGGCCCCGAACGCTAGGCCTGCGTGCGGGGGCTCCAGGAAAGGCAGTGGGGACAGGGACACGGGGTGGAGAGCAACACCCAGCCTCCTGTCCTGCTCCTGATTCTGAGATGCTGGCACCTGTGGAAGGCCTGGCCCCTCCCTCTGGGCCTCAGTTTCCCCTGATACGCCCCAAGGCTATGGCCCCAGAACCCGCCCGGCCACACACACAACTGCAGCTGAGGATGCACGGTGCCTGGCAGGTCCCCGTCCTCAGGCCGTGGGAAGTCCACGACACGAATGTTTCTGTGGGCTTCCACCTCAAAGGAAGGAAAGGCCGTGCCTGTGCGGGAGGCGGGGTGTGCGAGTCCGTCCCTCCCTCCGGGCTTGGGGACAGAGTGGGTCGTGGGGGCCACTCGGGGCGGGATCCCAGCCCACCCGTGAGCCTGCTCCCTGGCCACCGGAGCCGTGCCCTTTCCTTCCGGGGCCTCAGCTTCCCCTAACTCCCCAGTCCTACCCTGGATGAAGAGCTCGATGAAGTCCAGAGCTGCGGCCACCAGGGCCCTCATCCGGGAGGAAAGGTCGGCTCGCAGCACGCCCTGAGGCTGAGCGCCCAGCTCCAGGGCTGGGGACAGCGAGGGAGGGGTCAGGCAGGCCCGGAGAGAGCTGCGGGGACCCAGGACCTCAGGCCCCTCCTCCGAGAGGCCCCGCCCTCCGGCCTGGCCCCGCCCCGTCCCTCGTGGCCCCGCCCACTGCCCTCGCAGGGCCCACCCGCGCCGTTCTTGGCCCCCGAGGCCACCATGTAGCTCTCTTTCCCGGACTGCTGCTGCAAGAAGACCCAGCAGGGCAGCTCGGGGCTCTGCAGCTGGGGCGGCAGGGACGGGTCAGGGCTCCACGCCTACTTGGGAGGGGAAACTGAGGCAGGGGTAGCGGTGGGGGGTCGGGGAGGCGCCACTCGCCCTGGCCCGGTCTCCCTACGCCTTGTGGGGGTTCCAGAGGGCCTGGAGTATTTGCAGGTGGCAGGCCCCGAGGACTGGAGCCCAGGGGAAACTCCCAGGGGAAAGTAGGCCTAGGAAAGAGGGGCCAGGCAGAGGAGGCACCGGCACTATCCCCTCTGCCCCCTTCCCCACCCGATCCCACTCTCCGCCCTCTGGGAGGCTGTGTGCTGGGGGACTTGGGCCCCCTGTAGGTGGTGGCACAGGTGCATGGCAAAGACGCTGTGGATGGCTTCTGTGATGAGACAGGTGCCCGTGTTGGCTGTGGTGGTGTGCAGGTCAAAGGCCCAGCGCGAGGCTTTGGGCCCCAGCAGCTGATTCAGCTCTCAGGCTGTTGTCACCTCGTATGGGTCATCGGGGGTGGGCCTAGTTCTACAGGGACAGAAATGAGGGATAGCGGCTTCATCCCATAATCTCAGTCTTTTTTTAAAAAGATGACCGGTAAGGGGATCTCAACCCTTGACTTGGTGTTGTCAACACCACGCTCAGCCAGTGAGCAAACCGGCCATCCTTATATGGGATCCGAACCCGTGGCCTTGGTGTTACCAGCACCGCACTCTCTCAAGTGAGCCACGGGCCGGCCCTCATAATCTCAGTCTTTTTTTAAAAAGATGACCGGTAAGGGGATCTCAACCCTTGACTTGGTGTTGTCAACACCACGCTCAGCCAGTGAGCAAACCGGCCATCCTTATATGGGATCCGAACCCGTGGCCTTGGTGTTACCAGCACCGCACTCTCTCAAGTGAGCCACGGGCCGGCCCTCATAATCTCAGTCTTCAGTGGCTTTACCGGGGGAGGGACAACCTCGTGTTGTGGGCAGGCCCTGCAGGAGACACTGTGAGCAGCTCAAGGACTCTTCCTTCAGCCGTGCTGTGCCTGCCCCTGCTCACGGCCCTCGCTGGCTCCCTACTTCCCCGTGAAGTCCAAGCTCTCAGGCTGGCCCTGCCCACCTCTCATGTTCCCATTCCAGCTGCACTTCCCAAGCACCATGCTGGTCTCACGTCCAGGCCTCTCTGCACGTGCTAGAAACTTCTCTCCTCTCTTCACCTGGCTAACTTCTACTTGCCTTTTGCGGCTTAGCTGAGGCACCATCTCCTCCAGGAAGCCTTCTCTGGTTGCTCTTGGCTGTATTAGATGCTTTGCGTAGCCCCCTGCATTTAGACCCCTGGGTTGTGGTTGCTGGGCTCTTCCTCTGTCCCCAAGAAACTGAGGCCACCACCTTGGTCCTACTCCCCACTCTCCTGGAGCTGGCCGGAGCCTGGCCTGGAGATGGGGCTCAGTGAATGTCCATTGAAGGAAGGTACCTTGGGTTCTGTGTCCCCCCAAAACTTAATTCCCACTGTAATTGTTGAGGGTGGGAAATCCTATTATGGTAATTGAAAGGTGGGCCTTAAAGAGGTCATTAGACTGTAGGACCCTGCCACAGTGAATGGACTAGAACTGGTGGTTCTGAGGGTTTAAAAGGAGTTATGTGAGGAGCTATCTCTCTGCTCCTCCATTTTCTGCCACGTGTTCCTTGGACTTTGGACGTCTCAGCCTCAGAAACTGTAAGCAATAAATCTCATTCTCTTTATAAACCACCGGTTCCGGATATTTTGTTATAAGCAACAGAAATGGACTGATACAGAGGGCACGTGCAGTGGTTGGGACACGAGACAGGTAAACGCAGCCTGTGGGGTTGATCTGAGGGAAGCCCTGGGTCTGGGGAACCCAGAGGACGCGCCGGCCTAGTCTGTAATCAGGAGGGGCTTCCTGGAGGAGGTGACATCAATCTGGACTTTTCTAAACTGAAAAGGGAGGAATGGGCAGCACAGGCAGAGGGGGAACAAGAGTGAAGGGGAGGCATGCCAAGCTGCTGGCTGGAGGGGCCTCTGTCTGCCTGCAGTGCTGGGCCAGCCTGGCGCCACGGACACTCACGTGAGGAAGGGCCTGGTGAAACGCGGTTGAGGTCGCGGACTATGTAGCACTGGCAGGTGGCTGTGGCCACCGGGTTGGCCAGCACAGGCATGGCAGAGAAGCTGGGTCTCTGCAGCTCTCCTGGGGCCCGCAGCCAGTGATGGGCCAGGTAGATGCCAGACATCTCATTGCCATGGGTGCCCCCGGTCACGGCCATGCGGTGCAGGGGCTCCCAGGGCACAGGCAGCGAGCACATCCCAGTGTGGAGTGGAGCACCTGCTGGGTGGGCACAGACGCAGGGCCCGGTGCTCTGAGCTGAGGCAGCGGCAGTGAGCTCCCTGGGGCCTGAGGAGTCCCAGCCAGGCAGGTTGGTCACCTGGCAAGAGGTGTGTCTCACCTTTCCCCCAGGGGCCCAGCTCTAAGGCATCCTCAGCCCAAGCCCCTCCAGTTGCACCTTCCTTTGAGTGCGGCCACCGCCCTCCCTGCTTCTATTTGAGGAGAGAGTTTTCCCGCTTCTCTTATAGAGAAGCCTCTTTCTCCTAAGTTGAGAAGAGGGTCCCAGGTATTTGGGAAGATGGATTCACTGGGCACGCTCCCTATAGGTAGACGATTATGCTGTCATTTTATACACAGGAAAACTGAGGCACGGGTTGGCTATGGAGTGTCTGGGTTCCAGGTGACCCCTGAGCCTCTCTGTCCCTCCAGCCTGCTCCTCTGAGCTGGCACAGGGGCCTGTGGGAGGAGAGTGCTCACCTGCTGATGCGGGTCTGGGCTTCCCAAACCAGCAGGGCTGGAGTATCTACCTCCTAGACAGGAGGGTATTTATGCACCTGTAGGTCCCTGGGCAGGAAGTGTTTGTGCTGAGTTGGCAAGAGAGTGCATGTGCGTTGGGTGGGGAGTGTGATGCGGGCTGAGGTCCATCCAGCCAAAGGTTGGAGTGCTGGGGTCTCTCCCCTGCTCCCTGCCCGGCTCCAGCCAACACTGCTACTTGCCACTGCCAAGGCTCATTGGGTCTGGGTCCTGCAGGCAGGTTCCTGTCCTTGCCCTTCATCCCTCTTCTAGGAATAGGGACAGCCCCACCTCCAGGGGCCAGGCAGGGCTCCTGCTGGGGAGCTCACTTGGCCTTGGAAATTACTTGCAGGGATTCTTTAGGGCCTGGGATGAACACAGACTCCCCCGGAGAGGCTTTGGGCTCACCAGGCTGCCAAGCACAGGCAGTTTACTGCACAGGCGTCCAACCAGGGTTAGCAGGACCTGGAATCCAGCCCCGGAGCCACTGGCTGAGCAAGGAGCTGAATCTGCCCAGAGGGGGCACATTCCTTAATGCTAATAAGAGGTGGGCAATGGAGTGGTGACTTGATTTGCCATGAGACTAGGCCATTAGTTACTATCAAGGGTGCACATTAGTGGCCACCCAGATGAGGAGTCCCCTCTCCCTCCACAACCTGAGGAACATGCTTCTGTCCCTGCAGCCCCCAGAGGGCCGTGGTCACTCCTGGGTCACCCTTATCCTAAGAGCTATGCCCTGTGGGGTCCCAGTTTTATACTCTTTGATGCTTTAAATAAAATTTCAAAATGTTTCATCCATTATTTTTTGCTGTTTTCAGGGACAGTATAACTCAAACAACAGCTTGCACTGTTTTGGAAGTGACTCTTAGACCCATTTTACAGATGTGGAAACTGAGGCTCAGACAGAATGCCCAAGGGCATACAGAGCCCTAAAGGTGGGCCTAGAATTGGAACCTAAGGTTTCCAATCTGACCTCACCCTCTCCCTGCTGCCTCTCAAGGGGCATGGTGGGGATGGTTCAGAAGTCACCGAGGAGAGAGGCAGGGCCTGTGAAGTGCCCAGCCCAGTTACCCACTGCCTGCTATGTGCCAGGCAGTGGGACCCTGAGGAAAGGCCTCCCTAGGTATCTGGTCCCAGGCCTTCTTCACCACCAAACATGGCTCCTCCCAGGCCGGTTCAGCTCTGTTCCATGTACCAGGCCCGGCAGTGCAGGGACTCTGGGCAGCCAGGCCCCTCTAGGCTAAGCCTCCTGGGAGCTGCTCAGAGCTCACTCAGCTCTTCCTGTGGCCTGGGCTGCCCTCGGCTCTCCTGCCCTCCACCCTGCAGGGTTCGGTGAACTCAGAGTGTGGCATTGTGGGGGCTGTGGCTCACCCTTGCTCCCATCAGGGCAGCTGGTACCTTGGTCAGGTAGCTGGAGTGGTGGGTGAAGTGTGAGGCTGGGGCAGTGCCAGGGCTGGGGCTCCTTAAGAGCTCCCTCTAGGGGCCACCCCCTCCTGGGATCTGGAGCCTCAACAAAGGGAGGGCAGAGACCCCTGCGTGGAGGGTCGTTGAATCCTTCATCCGAGGACAGCCCTGGGGAGTAGCTATCATTTGCCCTGGTTTACAGGTGCTGACGGAGGTTCTAGGAGGGTAGGGTGGTCCAGAAGAACCTCCTGGCAGGTGGTGGCAGAAGGAGTCAGTGGCTGAGCCTGTCGGCCTCCCTCCCAGGCCCTGTTGTGCCAGGTAGGGGTGTCGGGGCACTGCTTTATGAGTTGGAGGCCTTGGTCTCTGTTCTAAAGGCCCCCAGTGGCTGAGCCTGTCGGCCTCCCTCCCAGGCCCTGTTGTGCCAGGTAGGGGTGTCGGGGCGCTGCTTTATGAGTTGGAGACCTTGGTCTCTGTTCTAAAGGCCCTCGCAGGCTGCCGGATCCTGCTGACTCCGGTGCGGGCCTCTCCAGAAGGAAGCGCCTTCTCAGCCGACTTGGCTATTTTGGGGGATGCTGGGGGCCAGAGCACGTCCTGTCAGGAGGTGCTGGGCCCCAGCTCTGGGAGGACAGCAGTAGGGGCTGCTGGAAAGTTTCATTTCCCTTGGCTGGGCTCTCGCTTCCCCGTTTCGGTGTTGTTTATAGAATGGGAGAGGGGCCAGGAGCCGGTGCAGGAGCCTCAGAAACAGCAGCCGCCACCCCCTCTGAGCGTGAGCGCGTGTGAACCTGCCTGTGCGCGGTGCTGGCGAGCGTCTGCCTGTCCGAGGGTCGGCGCGTCCATGCCTGTGATTGTATGTGCTGCACCGACAGGTATCCGTGTCACAGCAGTGACAACAATCTGGAGGTGGCCTGCAGAGTCACATGTTAGAGCCCCAGGAAGTAGAGGGGCCTCCCCTGGCTCTGAACCCCCACCCCTGACAGGCTGTGTGACCTGGAGAGAGCCAGTGCCCTCTCTGGGCCTTGGCTCCTGCCTATGAAATGGGGGTGAGGTTCTGTCCTGGCCCAGGGCAGCTGTGGGGAGTGGGAGCAAAGGGCGGACACAGCTCGCAGGACAGGTGTGCAAGGGCAGAGGACGGTGGACTGTGGGTTAGTGGGTCCAACTCCTTCACCGAAGTTGGGGAAACCAAAGCCCAGAAAGGGGCCAGAGCCTCAGCCAACCCACAAATTTGTAAAGCTTGACCCAGGAGGGCCATGTGGCCTGGGAGCTGACTGTCACCGTCCTGGCCAGGCTCTAGCCCTCCTGTTGGTCTCTCTGCTCGCCCTCATCCTGCTGGCAGCCCTTGCTTCTCATGGCGGGCCTCTGCCCGGCTTCTCCAGACAGCCTCTAGCTGCAGGAGGCCCGGGGCTCAGTCCTGAGCTCCCTCCTCTCAGATGGCATCAGACACCATCTCTTTGCTGGTGACTCGCAACTTCACATCCCAGACAAAGCGTGTGTGCCCAGGTGCTCACCTGCCATCCTCACCTGGACAGCATCTCACACTGGCATGTCCTAAAGCCAACTCTCAGAGTGAGATGGGGCTGGAGAGGGTGGGGACCGTCGTGCAGGGCCCTGTGGCCCATGTCAGGTGTTTGGTCCTGAGGGGGCCACTGAAGGGCTGGGGTGCTCGCCCAGCTTTGCAGTCATGGGGTTTGCATTTGTGGCCACTGTGTGGAAGCCAGCAGGGGGCGGGGACAGCGAGCAAGGAGCAGCCAGGGAGGTGGCTGTTGCAGGACCCAGGTGGCAGATGATGGTGGCTCCACCTTGGGTGAGAAGCGGACAATTTAGAGATGACTCCTAAGCAAACAAGTCAAAAGGGACAGAAGAGGGTGACAGATTGGCATGCAGGCACTGGGCGGGGCATCCAAGAAGGTCCCTGGAGGGTGGAGCGGCCAGCACCGAGGGAGACAGGGAGAGGGCCAGGCAGGGGGGTAAGGGTGGCTCGCAAGTTTAATTCTGAGCATGGATCGGGACCCCTTGAAGACAGGCCTCCAACAGTTACAGGCAGCAAACGTCACCAACTCGTCCTCAGGGCCTGGGGCCTGGCCCTGAGGATGCCCAGGTGCATGAGGCTCAGTCCCATGCTCAAAGGGTTCACAGGCTGGTTGGGGGTCAGGGGAGCCAGCAAAGGCAAGACAGTGCCATCGCTCCCTCTCTCTCCCCCGCTTCATTAATTCATTGGCAGGCACGCCAGGGGTGCCACTGTCATGTGGGCAGCCCTGGCTGGGTACGCTGACATGTCAGTGAGCTGGAATGTGTTTCTGCCTTCATGGACCTCGCTCTCTAGTAAACAAGACTCAGCCAGGTGTAGAGGGCACAGATTTTAGTCCACATCACTCAGGAGTAAAGAATGTGTCATTTCTCCGAGTATTTCTCCACAGCACAGTGAAAACCCTCTGAGTTCCACCTGCAGAGGTGGCAGGAAGTGACTCTCCATGGTCCATCCCCTGCAAGAATGGGGGATGTCTATGGTGCCTGAAATCAGGAGGTGTAGCTGGGCTGCAACCCCTGGTGGCCTCCATCTTCATCATAGCTGTGTCAGCTCCATGACAGGGGCCTGCTGCCCTGGTCACCACGCAGACGTCCCTCCCAGCACCCTCCTTCCAGCCAGGCCTGCATCCCACAGCCTGTTCATACACTGGGCATGGGGTCCCCTGCACCACTGGCCTCTTCAGCACCCTCGTCGCAGCCTGTTCCTCCACCCCCCAGCCCGGGACCTTCCTGCTGGCCTGGTGTCCTGGCGTCAGGGCAGGAGGAAGACTCACCCAATACTGTCATTTTTCTTTTTGTTTTTGTTTTTTTCCTTTTTGTTTTTTTTCATGACCGGCAACGGATCGCAACCCTCAGTGTCGCGCC